TTTCTGTTAAGGTGGTCTTGTTCTTTCTCGTTGCTGTTTCAGGACCGTCATCTTATGCCGAATACTGTTACTTCGTATCGTGTGGCGCTGTCGGACCCACTGCAGCTTGCTTGCGGCATCAGTGTTACTTGTGTGCCGTTTCGCAAGCTTTCTCGCATGTTGTTCCACCTCCGGCCTGCTCATGCACCACCTGAGCCATCCTGGTTGTGGGACAGGGTGCTCTCTTATCTCTCTCCCTCGGTTTTTAGTGGCCCCTTCGATTCAGGATTTTTTCTCCAAGGCTCTTTTTTTTCTTGTTGGCATTGGCCTCTTGGGGTCGGGTCGGGGACCTTCATGCTCTCCTCCGATACAGAGGTTTCTGCTCATTTGTCTCTGGTGATAGGTTTGTTCGTTTGCAACTATCTTCTACTTTTCTGGTGAAGAATGAGACGGCTGATTTCTGGAGGGGTCCTTTGGTTGTTGATGCTTTGTTGGTCAGGCCAGGGGTGCATCATGTGTTGTGTTTAGTTGTGCCTCTCTGCCATTATTTGCACGTCATGGTTTCTTTGTCCGAGGATACGCTTTGGGTTGATCTGGTTTCCCTGGTTCTGAACTAGGGAAAGACCCAAACCCTGGTTCCCTGTACCAGGGTTTGGGTCTTAAACATCTGCAGGATTGTTCGATCTAACCAGCCTGCGGTCTATCTTCGTGCCCACAACGTTCGTAAGTTTGCTGCGCTTGCTACCGTCTTCGGTAATATGTCTTGGGCCGACATTCGGGCAAGGTTTTTTTTTTGGCGGTCGAACAGGGTCCTGGCTGAGCGCCACCTGGTCAGTGTACCTGGGCCTAGTCGGGTCTGCGTCGTTTTTGATCGGATGTTTCAGCCAGTTGTCTCGACTTCGCGTTGAGGAGCGAGTGCCAACCGTCTCCTGGGTAAGTCGCCTCTTGTTTTCGTGTTTTGTTAAGTAGCTCGGGGAGCCGAAAGGGTTTCCCCCAGATATCCAGTGTTGAATGCAATAGAACGCTATTTTTTGGGTGAGACCCGGAGGCTCCCCGACATCTCTCCCTCCCTCCCTCTGATTGGCGTTTTTTTCGCGTGTTTTTGACATCCAGCCTCTGAACTGAAGGCATGGGTAGCCAGCGTGAAGGGGTCTTGGTCTCCCCCTTTCCCCCTCCCAGGGAAAGGGAGCTGCGCAGATGGTGACGTCATGCTCGTTTGCTCATTTTTCTTTGGGGGAGTTCTGTCCACTCGTTTGACTTTTCAGTAGTAGTTTCAACCAGAATAGGGGTTAGTTTGGGGATGCTTTCTTTTCTGGGTGCCTGACCCAGTCGATGGCAGACATAGAATGCTCCAAATCACATGTGCAATTCTATAGACTATTGCTCCTCGTGCTTCTCTGAAGGGGGGATGGGGGGGCAGGTTCTGGCTCTTGGTTCCCGGTAGGCCTAAGAACTCCATTCACACTGGCTGATGCCAAAGTCTAATACAGTATATCATTATCAGCCTGAATAGCTCCAGTGAGCCTTCGGGTCTCGCCCAGAAAATTGGATTTCGTTACAGTCAACACTAGTTTTTCCCAATATTTTGACCATTACACTCCATGGTGGATTTTATATTCACCAGGAAAAGTAACCCATGTCCTTTTGGGAATGCATTATAATTTAGAAGAGAATGAGGAAGTTGAAGCAGTTGAAAAACCTAATTTCAGGAGAGTACACTAGGGAAACTTTGAAAGTTCTTTAATGAATTTGATTGGAAAGATTTGCTGTTAGGCAAGAAAGAAAATGAGATGTATGTCAAGTTTTGTGAAATATATGATACAGGCACAAAAAAATTATAGGAAAATATAGATGCAGAACTAGGAAACAGGATTGGTTCAACAGAAATTGCGAGAGAGCCAGAGACCTAAAATTACACAAAAATGGAATCAATATAGGAAGAGTTAACCCAAATAAAACCCAGGTTCAATTTTATTGACCCTGATACAATAAAAAATTTAAATCTTTTGTCATAAACCTGCTTCCAACACTAGTAACACTGTGCTCTGCCTTCCCTTCATATCTGAACTCAAAACTTTTACTAATGCCTTTCGTCCTCTTGACATAAAGCTCGCCTTTCGACAAACTAACACACTTCATAGCAATCTTGTTCACACTGCTCCTCCTGCTTCTAATGCTTCTCGTGTCTACTCTATTTCCTGTTCGTCTTGTCCTCTCCAATGCCTTGATGAAACTGGCCATACACTTAATGACAGACTTAAAGAACACAAAAGAAGTGTTAAGTCTGCAGACACAAACAATGCTCTCTTCTGTCATGTTAGAGATTCTAATCATCCTATTGATTGGTCTTCCTCCAAAATAATCTTTCCTGCCTCTACTCTCCACAGACGCCGTCTTGTTGAATCGGCTGTAATACACAACGTACCCAACATGAACTTGAGTCATGGCTTTGTTGCTGTTGACTCTTTCCTTTCACAGTATATACTCAAATGCTCTAAACTTTTTAACAAACATGACCTAACATAAGCTTACCCTTCCATTTATCTTTCTTTCTCTTTCCTTCTTTTTCTTGTTTTCTCTTATGATCCTGTGCTTATTCCTATTACTATCCCCTTCTTATTCCTATCCCCTTCTTATTGGGTGGTTATAAATAGGAGCTGCCTCGTATGGGCCAATAGGCTTTGTGCAGTTACCTTTGTTCTTATGTTCTTGTGTTCCTATTCCTATTACTATTCCCTTTATTACACATTAATAAAGGGAGCCGGTCGGCCGAGTGGACAGCACGCTGGACTTGTGATCCTGTGGTCCTGGGTTCAATCCCAGGCGCCGGCGAGAAACAATGGGCAGCATTTCTTTCACCCTATGCCCCTGTTACCTAGCAGTAAAATAGGTACCTGGGTGTTAATCAGCTGTCACGGGCTGCTTCCTGGGAGTGGAGGCCTGGTCGAGGACTGGGCCGCGGGGACACTAAAAAGCCCCGAAATCACCTCAAGATAACCTTACATTTCGTACCTTTTTTACTTTGCTTTTTCTTCCTCCCTCTAAGATTCTTCTCTCCTCTCTTCTCGCCTTTCTTCCTTCTTCTCACCTCTCTCTTGTCTATTTATTGCCTTGCCGCCTCCCTTTATCACAATCGACTTGAGAATGATCCAGGACGGACCGAAGCGTCGTCATCTCTTCACTTCATAGTGTGGTTTGGTCAACACAAATATAGGTAGAGGCCAAACCTCAAACATATCAACGATACAAGGAAGCAAGAAACAACTACACAGCAGGAAGAAGTTAAGCAGAAAGAAATTTCGAGGAAAGATATATAGAGAAATGTAAAACAGAAATAGGCCTATTCTATAAATTTATTTAAAGCAAATTGCAGATAAAGAATAATATTCAGAGGCTGAAAATGGGAAACAGATTCGCGGAAAATTAAAAGGAAATGTGTGAAACATTAAACGAACAGTTCCAAAGTGTGTTTATGCAAAATTAAATTTTCAGAGAACCTGACACAATAAGAATTCTAGAGAATAATATAGAGCACATAGAGATGTCTAGAGATGAAGTGGAAAAAAATTCTCAAGGAGCTAAGAACAAAGCATTTGGCCCAAATGGAGTTTCACCATGGGTTCTGAGAGAATGTGCACCTCAACTCAGCATTCCACTTAAATTGATTTTTCAGGCATTCACTGTGTCCTTGTAGACATTTGATGAGTAATCACTTACACAATGGTGCAGTTTTACAGGACTCAACTTTTAAAATTTGATTATTTTTTTGCTTCACTTACTATTTTATACTATGTATTGTTTGAGTTGAATAACTCCTAGACAGCCACTAGGGAGACCCTTGGCTGCCGAGGTTTGAATTCCCTTGGGGGGGATCACAGAGTTCGTAGTACCTGGATCGTACATAGATGGGGTTCTGGGAGTTTTTCTACACCTCCATGAAGATCTGTTGTTGACCATTCTATTTCCCTGTTGGTAAAATCCACAAGTATTAAGATCTTTGTTCTGTCTCCACTTGCCACTATGGCCACCTTTTCTGTTGTCTTCAAGTATGTTTTATTACATTTTTCATATTCCTCTTCTGACCTTCCTGTAGTTATTGATAGTTGTAAGTAACACCTACCACTATCTTCATGGTCCTCACTGTTACTATTCCTAATATGAAATCCTACCGATTGGTTACATTGAGAATCTCTTAAGCTCCAGTGTTGCTGTATCAGTAGATATACTCTTCCCCCCGTCCTGTTTGTTGTTTTCAAATTTGTTCATTCTCTATTGTATTAGTTTTGTCACTGTAACCGTGATACGAGGATACAGTTCTTCCACCTATTATTGCGACTCTTCCCCTTTATTTTTAATGCTGTCTGAATTTGTGTACAAACTTTTTATACTACTCATTTCTACAGGGCTGCTTAGATTCTTCCCAGGGGTAGATTCTACCTTTGGGCTAGTTCCATTCTGGAGGATGGCATTTGTGAGTGTTGGTCTAATTGCACTCGTTCATTCCCTCATGATCTTTTTCCTTGCTACTGTGACTAGGCCCACTATCTTATTGTGCCCTCCTCCCGCCCTGCTCTCGCATCTTGTTTCCCTATAACTCCATTTCCTCTCGCTCTTCCTATTTCACTTCACTTTACTCTGTTTTTCTCTGCCTCTTTTTTAGTCATGTCCTGGTCAATGAATACCTGGTTGTATCTACCCCCATCCCTTAATCTTCTCTTTGTTAAGTACCCTTAACTACTGGGAAGATATAATTGTTTTATTGGAACCGTATAGGTAACATTGATTCGTAAACACTGATGCATGAAGTAATTCTCCGCTGGACAATGGCCACATTGAACTTGGTATCAACACTTGACAATAATTACACTCTGAGGGATAATAATTGTCATGAGTCATTAAGGTAGGAGAAGGGAATACTTTCCTGTATTACTCTTGTTTGATCACAAAATACCTAACTAATTACTTCCAATGTTTTTAACATTACCTTAGTAGTACTGTAGTTGATAAGTATATATTTTCAGTAATCTTCAGTCCAAAAGAACACGGAACTATAATTCAGTGAATTGCAAACTTGAACTAGCAAGCAGATGTGTAGCTGATGCAAGAACTCCTGTAAGTTTAGATCAGATGCAACTGAATGGACCTGTGGCACCAGGGTAAGTGTTACATAGTGCTTCCTATTATTATTATTATTATTATTATTATTATTATTATTATTAATTATTAATTATTATTATTATTATTATTATTATTAATTATTAATTATAATTATTATTAATTATTATTATTAATTAAGAGGGGAAAGGGAGCACCATAGACCCCCACACCGGCTATCCGCCCTTCAGTTCTGTGGCTGATATGAATGTCAATGTGCATTATTATTATTTATAATAATAATAATAATAATAGAAGATAGTATTGTTAGAATAATAATTAGGTAAGAACAAATGTAGTAAAAAACTTGTGGATGGGAATTTCAAATATTCAGGGGTATTTTCAGAAGTACACAAAGTTATCATAATGAGCCGCCTTGGATGGGTTTTTCTGTAAAGCGGGGGAGGGCACATATTCATTTTTACATATTTTTTGTTATTAATGAAGATTTTTTCTTATGGGTTTGTTATTCAGGCAAAACCATCGGTTCCAAAATTAAATGCAGTATAATCAGTCATTATTGAGGCTAAAAATGTTAAATGATTATTTATAATTTTGCTCTTGTCAAGCATGGTAAGGTGGAAGGCATGTTGTTGTTGTTTAAGATTCGTTACCTGGAACAAAGTTCCAAGTAGCACGGGCTATGGTGAGCCCGTAGACATGGTGGAAGGCAGCTTGTTCAAAGCTGCTAATGCAAACAGCCCTCACAAAAATGGAAAGTTTTTATAATTTTATTTACCAATTTGAACTGAACACTAACATAATTGGCCAATGAATAAATTTGATTTACTAGTACCTGTACAGTAGAACCTCGGTTTACGAGTGCCCCACTTTATGAATTTTTTGGTTTACAAGCTCAATTTCTTTGAAAAATTTGACTCGGTTTATGAGCTTTGCCTCGCTTGGTGAGTTTATTGATACACGTATGGGTTGACTGAGCACGTGGTTCCTGGTGGCAAGGGCGAGGCACACCTCAGTTTACCAGTGTTTCCCACCTAGTGACAATGGCACTTGAATTCTTTGTAAAGAATTTCATTATTTTGCTGATTTTCTTGGGGGAGCCCCTTCATCTCCCAGGAGCTATCCAGGCTGATATGAATGTATTAAACCCTGGCATCAGTCAATGTGCATGGAGTTCTAGGCCTACCGGAGACCTCGAGCCAGAACCTGGCCCCCTCAGAGAGGCACAAGGAGCAATGGCCTATTGAAACCCCTGAGTGTTTGGAAGCAGTCTGTCTGCCATAGACTGGGTCAGGCACCCAGAAAGGTAAGCTCCAAAATAAACTCATATTATGGTTAAAATATTGCTACTGAAAGCCAAACTAGTGAACAGAACTCCCCAAAGGAAAACGAGCAAATGAGCATGACATCACCATGTTACCGCACCACTGTCTGCGCAACCCCCCACCTTCCCGGGAGGGGAAAGGGGGCACTATAGACCCCCACACCGGCTATCTGCCCTTCAGTTCTGTGGCTGATGTGGAACTGGCAAGGTTGTGTGTCTTTCCAATTCTGTGCCTTGTGGTGTGGTGCTGTCTCTACGGTGGTGTGCGATCACCTGCACCTGACTCGCACCTGGTGTGCGAGCCAGGAGTAATTTTCTCCAGTACTCGGGATGCATGTGCCTAGGGTTCCCTTCCCTAGGTTCCCTGTAAGTACTGACCTTGGGGGCTTGGGGTTACCTTCCACAGGTCACCTTGGGATCTACCTCCGCTGTGTCTTTTACTGCTCGGTGATTGACTGCCCTTGGAGTCAGCTGGGGTGTTTCTTGCTCCCCCGTTTGCCTCTGGGTAGGGGGTAGTTTCCGTCACTGGTGCTGGCTCAGAGTACTATGCAGCTAGTTATCACCTCTCGTGTCGGCCGGCTGTGTTCTGCCTGGATATGTTGTCCTCTTGCCGTTTTTTCCCCCAGCCTGGTAGGGGGTCTGCCCCTTGGTTTGGTCACACTGTATTGTATCTTGGTGGATCTCCTCTAGGCCCGCACGAGTGTACACGTCCCGGGGGTTCAGCTTTAGCAGTTTGCTTGGTAGTTTTTGGGCGTCTGTTAGCACTACCCTGCCTAGGTACCCTTAGTGAGATTACATGACAAAGGGCCCGGGGAAACCCTGTGGGGGCTCTTGCTTCGGGCAAGTTTGAAGGTTGCTCTGTCCCCTTGTCTTAGGTGACACTTATTGGCTGTGCCTCCATCAAGCTGCCTGTTGGGTCGGTGACACTTTCAACCTGGAGTCTGGCGAGTTTTGTTGCTTGTTCGTACTCCAGTTCACCCAGACCACTGATCATGATATGCAGGTGCAGGCAGCTTCGGCATTGCATGCTCGATTTAGGTTGCTGCAACGTGCTAGGTTGGTTGCTTCCCCAGATGCCCTGAGACTGCCCCATTTTGGTTATAGGTACCCAGACTTGGGGGTTGTTAGTCACCTTGACTTTGATTCCGTCTGTTCCCCCTTGTCCTTTCTCTTCTGTTGTCCGACCTGGTCCTCTCCCCTTGCGTCCGGCTCTGAAGCATCTGAGGGTTTCGTAGTCAGGGCCATGGTGTTGAAACTTGGGCGGTTTCGAGGGATGCCCATTCCGGGGTGGCAGCGAAGACATTCGAGCCTGGTCCTCCAGCCAGAGCTTCTGGGTCTAACCAGTGGGCCCCCTTCATTCCTGCTTTTTTGGCTGCTGCTGCCTTTTCTTTTGAGGCAGAGGGTGTGGAGGACAGCTTGGCCCCCCAGGGGCTCGTGGTGAGGTTCCCGGGGCTGGGGATGGGCTGACTTGGGGGCTTTGGGGCCCGGTTGGACCCGACTTGGGTTTTTATACCCCTCTGAGCTGGGCTTGGTGTTACAGGGATTGGGGGGTTCTCTTTCTTCCCGTCCGCCTACAAGTTGGATTTGGTGTCTACTCCTCCCCGGGTTCGGTTCCATGATCCCATGAGTTCGTCGCTCCTGTCTTTCCGAAAGTTTTCGGTCTCCCACATTCCGCCCCATGTGATGTGGGAAGCCATAGCAGCTTACCTCCTGTGAGGATCATGGATCCTACTTCTGTTGTGTCCATACTGGGTTCGTGTCCGGAAGTGAGGTTCCGGAGTCGTCCCTGCTTGCAGACTGCCCCTTGTTCTCATTGGAGGCATGGCATTCGTTCTGTTGGTCCTGCATGCTTGAGTGGCATAAGGCTCATACAGTGGTCCAGGTTTACTAAGGGGGTGGGGGAGCGAGTTTGAACACTGCAATGCGTGCTTGTTGGACCCCTGCCCTTCCTCAGGATGTCGGTGTGATGCAGCTTCACATGCAGATTCCTTCCCTTCCCTTTCGGCTGCGTTGGATGCCGAGGACTTGCATACCCATGGATTGTTGGCTTTGGTCTCTAGATTCATTTCCCTTCTCCAGTTGTCCTTGGGCTGGTTTGAGGAGGACATAGAGGCACTTGGGACAGTTCCTGGGTCTGGTGTGTGCACCTCAGCGGTGCGTGCGTCAGCTGCTCTGTTGAAGCTGTTCATGCCGGGATGAGGTATTGCTGTTTTTTGCTTCCCATCTTGCGTCTCGGCAGGTGGTGCTTTCTACTTGTGTGAAATCTGTTTGGGCTCCTGACTCTTAGGATTTCTTTGTCCTTTTGTCCATTGCTGTTTGCAGAGTCTGCTGTTGTGCAGTATCTGCAGGCAGCTTCTTCTAGTTGTCGTCCCATGTCGGATTTGTTGGTTCTTCGAGGGGCCTGTGAAGAGTCTTCCCAGAAAGGTCGTGCCAGGGCTTGGGGTTCCTCAGGGTCATGGTAGGCCAGTGATGCCAGTTTTGGAGCTGGCACATCCTTTGGACCCCATCTTCGTCTGGTTGGCACAGTGATCGCTCTGTGCGGAGATCGGGTTCTCGTAAGGGGCGTCATTCCTTTCACGGTTCGGGGGGGGAGGATTTCTTTGTTTAGCATACCAGGTCCCACGATTTGTGGGACTTTTGGGTTGTTTTGTGCAGCCTGCGATGGAGTTTGGTAGCCCCTCTTCCTTCGGGAGGTTCGGTGTTGGCAGGGCAGGCCTCTTCTCTTGTGCTCTGTCGGGTCATCTCGGAGTGGGTTCGCTTGGGCGTGGTCAAAACGACTTCATCCCTCTTGTGGGTTTCCCACCTGTTTCCGGTTCCAAACTGGGACTGCTCAAGTTCATTCTGGACTTGTCCCATTCGAACCCATGGGTTTATTGCCCCCTCTTTCGGCTGACTACTGTCTTATTCAAAGGATACATTATACTGAACCTTGTGGTACTTCACAAATTAAATTTCTCTAGAATCATTACCTCCTAATTACCACTCATATTTCTGTCTCAATTGTTCATCATTGTGTGTGTGGGGCTATTTTCTGGTGGGTGAGCCCCTCATGACTCCCTAAAGCTACTATACTGATACAGTGCCAGGCTACAAGGTGCCATCAGTTGCGGAGTTCTTATTGGCTTACACGAGCCAGAACCTGGTCTCCTCAGATAGGTGCAAGGAACGGTGGCATGTATGAAAAATTTTATGTAAATTTATTTGTGTGCAACCACCAAGGGAAGGCACCCAGAAACTCGGCGAAACAAAACAGACCACTACTTGAAACCAGACTACAAAACTGCAGTCATGTTAGAAACCAGACTGCAGCCTTAAAACAGCCAAAAGAACTCCCCCCAACAATGTAGGCAAATGATGATAAATTTGTGAAACTAGCATGAGCTTCTTTGACCCCCCACCTCCTCTTCTCATTGGGGAGGAAGTGGGGCAACTAGATGAAGTTGCTTCAAAGCGAAGTTCCTTCAAAGCGGCTTTGTCTAGTTGCTAACTGCTGTTTGCTCTCACATGGTCATACGATTCATGGCATTTCGGGTCGTTTTCTCTGGCCTGCATTAGTGTTGGGTAGTTCTCCCTCCTTTGGGAAGATCGGAGCTGGCAGGGCTCTTCCCTTGTGCTTGGTTGGGTCATCCTGGAGTGTGTTCGTTTGGGCGTGGTCGAAACGACGGCATCCCTCAGGCAGGTTTCCTGGGTGTTTTCAGTTCCAAAGCGGGACTGTGCAGATCTGTGATTCATTCAGGACTTGTCCCATCTGAACTCCTGGGTGTTTTGCCCCCTCTTTTCAGATGACCACTCTGTTTCAGGTCCGGCTGCTTGGATGGAGAGTCTGGATCTCCGGGACGCGTATTGGCACATCTCAATTTATCTGGAGTTCAGGGACTGGCTTGGTTTCGTTTGGGGGTGACAGGCTTACCGCTTTCGTCGCCTTCCATTCGGTTTGAATCTGGCATCTCGCGTGTTCACACGCCTTACCCGGATCGTGGTGACCAGTTTGCTTCTGTCAGGGGTTCGGGTTCTGGCTCACCTCAACGACTGGCTAGTGTGGGCTCCCAACAAGTCCTCGTGTCTGCTCGCCAGGGATTTGGTTCTTTCCCAGCTCGCCAGGTACGGGTTCTTGGTGAACTGGCTGAAGTCCCATTTCGTTCCCTCTCAGGTTCGGACTTGGCTGTGTCTTGTGAGGGACTCTCGGATCGCTTCCTTGACTTTTCCTCCCATGTCATTTTTTGCAGCTGCGGTCCCACCTTACTGTTTATTGAGAGCACCCAGGTTACTTGTCGGTTGTTTGAGCAGCTGTGAAGGAGTCTGAACTTCACGGTGCTTGTCTACCCGTCGGGTTAGATCTGGCCTCGGCGGCTGTTCTGGTTCCTTCTGGGACGCCCCTTCCACCGTTCTCGCGATTGCTGGGTTCAGACCCCAGAGGATGTGGGGCCCCTGCATCGGCTGCTGCATCGCCAGCTTCCTCTGAGGGTTTTTTTTGGTTCTTTGGTACGACGCCTTCCCGAGTCCTCACTCGATGTGTTCATGGATGCCTCATCTCTCGGCTGGGGTTTTGTGACTAGTGCTCTCCAGGCCGGCCAGGGTCAGGGGGGGGTCCATCCTTCCGTCGGGCTCACAACACTGCACAGGAGTTTGTAGCGGCATGGCATTCGCTTCAGAGGGTTTGTGTTGCTTGCGGAGCAATAATTCAGCTTTATTTGGACTGCTCCCCTGTGGTTCATTGTCTGAACGGTGAGGGGTTAGATGCGGTCCTTGGCTCTTTGGAGCTGGTCGCTTCGGGTGACTCGTCTGCCGAGTTCTTGGGGTTTGGCTCCCCTGGCGGTTCACATTCAAGGGGGTGTAAAACGTCCTAGTGGACGGCCTGTCTCGGTTCATTCCCCTTTCCACGGAATGGATGGTCGACGCCGACTCGTTCAGTTGGCTCTGCCGGGCGGGCGCCCAGAGGTGGACCTCTTCGCATCGGCTTGGTCGAGGTGTCTTCCAGTGTATGTGGCGCCCTTCCCTGACTGTGATGCTGTCAGGGTCGATGCCTTTTGGCTGGACTGGTCGTGGCGGGGTTACCTGTACCTCTTTCCACCGGTTCGGTTGTTGCTTCGGGTCGTGGCCCACTTCAAGACTTAACAGGAGAGAGTAGTCCTATTGATCCCTTGGTGGCCAGCCCAGCTCTGGTTTCAGGCGCTGCTTGCTCGATGTCTGAACCCAATGGTCTTCCTGTTGCTCTGCCTCTTTTAGCCAAACTGCCCGGTACGATATGTGGCCGATTGAATCTTCTCTGTTCTTCGTGTCTGGTCTTTTTGATGCGGGTTTATCATCCCTTGTATGATGATCAGGTGGCTTCATTGATGGTGTCCCACCTGTGAGTTTTTCCTCGATGGCAGTATGAGTTTCCTGGCTGTTCGTTCGGCACTTTTTGTCTCTTTGTAAGTTGTCTTAGATTTTTTATATGGTTGTTTTGTCCTTTCTCTCTTGGTTGTTTCAGGACTGTCATCTTATGCCAAATACTATCGTCTCGTATCGTGTGGCGCTGGTAGAGCCGCTTCAGCTTGCGTTGGGGTGGATGTCATTTCTGATCCATTCCTCAAGCTTTCTTGGGCATTGTTTCACCTCTGGCCTGCTTATATGCTGCCTGAGCTGTCCTGGTCATTAGACCAGGTGCTCTCTAGTGCTCTCTCCTCCTTGTTTGTAGTGGCCCCCTCGGTTCTGGACTGTTTTTCTAAGGCTCTTTTTGTTATTGGCATTGTCCTCTGGGGGTCGGGTCGGGGAGCTTCATGCTCTCCTCCGGCACAGGGGTTTCTTCACTTTCGGTCCTGGTGGGCGTTTTGTTCTTTTGCAGCTGTCTCCTCCTTTTCTGGCAAAGAATGAGTCTGTTGCTTTCCAAAGGGGGGGTCCTTGGGTTATTGATGCTTGGTTGGTTCGGCTGGGGGTGCATCATGTTTTGTGTCCGGTTGAGATTCTTTTCCGTTACTTGCGCACCATAGTTCACCCAAAGCGTGGCAGGGGACGCGCTTTGGGTGAACCCGGGTTCCATTCTTTTGTGTTCCAGGGCTCGTGTCTCCCAGGTCAACCACAGGATTAGTTGGCCCAGCCAGCCTGTGGTCTATCCCTGTGCCCATGACGTTTGTAAGTTTGTGGCTTTGGCTGTTATTTTGGTAATATGTCTTGCGCTGACATTCGTACACAGGGCTTTTGGAAGTCGAACAGGGTCTTGGCCGCACGGTACCTTGTTAATGTTCCAGGCCCTTCTCTGGCGTGTGTAGCCTTGGGTCGCAAGTTGTAGCCAGTTATCTTGACTTTGAGTTGAGGAGTGGCAGACGGCCGCCTCCCGGGTAAGTCCCTCTTTTTCCTTTATCGTTGGTTAGGTATTTCCCGGGAGCCGAAGGGGCTCGCCACAGAAAACCAGTATTGAATGTAATGAAACTTCATTTTCTGTGTGAGACCTGTTGGCTCCCCGGCATCCCTCCCTCAGGTCTGGGACCCCCCCCTTCCTTTCCCATCCCGGGAAGGAGGGGAGTTGTGCAGATAGCTGCATGGCAGCTGTGATGGCATCATGCTTGTTTGCTTGTTTTTGATTGGGGAGTTTTGCTTGCTAGTTCGGCTTTTGGTTTGCAATTTTTGACCAGCTGTAGTTTGTTTTGGAATTCCTACCCTTCTTGGTGCCTGACCTGGTAGATAGCAGACATATTCTTCCAGTTACACGGGGGACTCTTTAGGCCATTGCTCCTCGTGCCTCTCTTGAGGGGGCCAGGGCTCTGGTCCCCGGTAGGCCTAGAACTCCATTGATTGACTGTTGCCACGGTCTAATACATGCACATCAGCCTGGTGTAGCTCCGAGGAGCCTCCGGGTCTCGCCCAGAAAATGGCATTTCATTACATTCAATGTTTGTTTTGTGGGTTCCTTTTCTTGGTGGTGGCAGATTTGAATAAATGTACATACAAATTTTCATAGTACCAATGCTCTATGTGCCTCTCTGAGAGGGAGTGGGGTGGGGGGGCAGGTTCCGGCTTGTGATCCTTGGTAGGTCAATACCAACTCTGTGATCTAATGGCACCTTGTAGTCTGTCACTATTTCACCATAGTAGTTTCATGGAGCCACAAGGGCTCCCATAAGTTGGCATTTTGTTTCATTCCATGATGATTTTTTCTGTGTGTATATGTCTGTGTGGCTGTAAGTTGTTTTATAATGTTATATATTTATGAATACCCCACCAGAGTGAGTGCAGAAGACATTGCAGAATTGAAAACCCTGATGAGGACTTGTGTGAATTTGAATCGAGATCAAAACAGAGAAGTAGTGTCTCAGACTCGCATGTTAGCCAGTAAATTGGACAAAGCACTTCAGCAAGTCAATCTACTAGCCAAACAGTAAGTGACACTTCTTTCATCAGTTTATTTTTACATTCACTTCAGCTATTGCTCAGATTCATGTGTTTTTACTGATTTTCTTGATATAAATAATTAATATACTTAATTGCAGATAATTCATCCTAAACACTGTCATTATCTTATTTGGTAGGGTCGAGGAGATAAACGCGGCACAGTCGCAAGTACAAATTGAGCTGCCTCGTGCTGTTGCCTCATCCCTTAGGCCTGTGGTTGAGGCTACTTTGAGAAATGAGCTGAGAAGTGTGGTTGTTCCGGGTAAGTCTCTAGAATTTATAATCTTATAGGTCAAACATTTTAGTAGAAACCCGATGTGATACCAATTTGATATCAATTGGTATCAAACCTCCATATCTATTGAATGAAGTTTTCCATTGCATGGAGCCTTTTCTAGGCTAGCTCTAGCCACCCTAGGCTTATGGTAGTGATGCACTGAGGCTTTGCTAAACACACCAGGCTCTCATGACACCTCTACCCGCCAGGTGCAAGCACCATGAGTAGGTTCATTAAAGTGAAAATACAGTATGCACATTATGTGGGTGGCAATATGATTGCTGTTTTTGGCAGCAAGGAAGAAGTAGGAAAATCTTGGTGCACAATCTCACAGCTACCATTTATTCAAACCTTCTTTGACTCTTCGAGCATGATAAGTTAAGGCTAGGGCAGGTTTGTTTTGTATAAGTTATATAAAGGAATGTAGAGTTAATAGGTATATCTGGTAGGAATACATGATCTTTTCTTCCAGTAGAGTTCCATCCAATATCATGAGTGCCTTCATTGTATGAGCACAAAACAAAATATTTAGGTAAAAAAAGTGTCTATTTAAAATGAGCACTGTTGCATTTTACATATTTTTGTTTTCAGTGATATCTTGAGTGAGACCCTCATTTTATTTATGAAAATGGCAAATTTTATTTGTGATTGTAAAACTAAGATTCCTTTTGTTACTGGGCAGCATAGTTCAATGGGAAACCTGCATGGATACCTCTTCTGAGCCCGCTCTTGCTTTGTGCGAATTTGAGAGTTGTTTATTACCTGTTGTAAGGATATGAAGCTTGTAAGCCTTACCTTAGATTGCGAACTAGTGAAACCCGTCCTTACTTTCTTATTCACAGTATAAGCACGTTACTTTAAAACCAGGGTTTGTAGAACCCATATGCAGTTATAAGCACTTCTGAACACAAGAATGACAATGTGGGACTGGTACAATATTTTTGCATTGGGGGACTCGAAAACAATCAGAGTGCATGCATTACATTTATTTAACCACAGGATAAGGGATAATAGACACAAGAAATAATGTCACTCACCAGATTACAAATACACTCGGATATAAATAGAGGTCAATAATCTCTCACAGTGAGACGAGTACCTCATGAGCACACAGTTTGTTTTTGACTCGAGTTTATCATCACTTGTATGGTGCGCAGGTGGCTTCGTTGTTGGTCTCCCACCTCCGTGCTTTGTCTCGGCGACAATATGAAGTTTCCTGGCGGTCTTTCCGGTTCTTCCTATCACTGCGTAGGTGTTCTTCGGTCTCTGATAGTTGTTTTATCCTTTCTCTCTTGGCTGTTCCAGGACTGTCATCTTATACTGTCGCTTCGTATCGTGCGGTGCTGGCGGAGCCGCTTCAGCTTTCTGTCGGTGTTGATGTTACTTCTGCCCTGTTCCACAAGCTGTCTCGGGCAGTGTTTCACTTCCGGCCTGCTCATGCTCCACCTGAGCCATCCTAGTGTTTGAACCGGGTGCTCACGTTTCTCTCTTCTCGGTTTGTTGTGGCATCTTCCGTTCGGGTTCGTTTTAGATTGTTTTTCTAAGGCTCTTTTCCTGTTGGCATTGGCCTCTGGGGGTCGGGTCGGGGAGCTTCATGCTCTCCTCCGGTGCAGGGGTTTCTGCTCTTTCAGTCCTGGTGGTTGATTTGTTCAGTTACAGCCGTGTCCTTCTTTTCTGGTGAATGAGACGGCTGCGTTTTGGAGTGGGCCTTGGATTGTTGATGCTTGGTTGGTTAGGCCAGGGGTGCATCACGTGTTGTGTCCGGTTGCGGCTCTCCGCCGTTATTTGCGCGCCATGGGTTCGGTGGCCGGGGATGTGCTTTGGGTTGACCAGGTTTCCCTTCTTCCCTGTTCCCAGACTCGGGTGTCTCAGGTTGTCCTCAGGGGTTAAGTCTAGCCAGCCTTTGCAGATGACACTAGGATTTGCAGATGACACTAGGATTTTCATGAGTTGGCAACATAGAGGACACGGCAAACCTCCAATCAGATGTAGATCAGGTCTTTCTATGGGCTACAGAAAATAATATGGTGTTCAACGAGGATAAGTTTCAGCTCATGCGCTACGGAAAAATTGAAAATATAAAATCAGAAACCACGTACAAAACTCAGGCAAATCATAACATAGAACGAAAAGGCAATGTAAAGGACCTGGGTGTACTCATGTCGGAAGACCTTACCTTTAAAGAACACAATAAAGTAGCCGTCACAACTGCAAGAAAAATGACAGGTTGGATAACAAGAACTTTTCACACTAGAGATGCTATACCGATGATGATACTTTTCAAAACGCTTGTGCTCTCTAGAGTGGAGTACTGCTGCACAATGACAGCCCCTTTCAAAGCTGGAGAAATTGCTGACCTAGAGAGCGTGCAGAGATCCTTTACTGCTAGAATCCACTCAGTAAAACATCTAAATTACTGGGACCGACTAAAGAGCCTAAATCTGTACTCCCTTGAGCGCAGGCGGGAGAGATACATAATAATTTACACGTGGAAAATAATTGAGGGGCTGGTCCCAAACCTGCACACAGAAATAACACCACATGAGACCAGAAGACATGGCAGGATGTGCAGAATGCCCCCGTTGAAAAGCAGAGGTGCAACAGGTACTCTGAGAGAGAACTCTATCAACATCAGAGGCCCGAGACTGTTCAACACGCTTCCACTACACATATAGGGCATAACTGGCAAACCCCTCACAGTGTTCAAGAGAGAACTGGATAAGCACCTCCAAAGGATACCTGATCAACCAGGCTGTGACTCATACGTCAGGCTGCGAGCAGCCGCGTCTAACAGCCTGGTTGATCAGTCCAGCAACCAGGAGGCCTGGTCGACGACCAGGCCGCAGGGACACTAAGCCCTGGAAGCACCTCAAGGTAGCCTGCGATTTATCCTTGTACTCACGACATGCATAAGTTTGCTGCTTTGGCTGCCATCTTTGGCAACATGTCTTGGGTTGACATTGGACGCGGGGTTTTTGGAGATCGAACAGGGTCCTGGCAGCTCGCTACCTGGTTAATGTTCCTGGGCAAAGTCGGGCGTGCGTTGCGTTGGGTCGGCGGTTGTGACCAGTTGTTTCGACTTTGTGTTGAGTGAGGACGGACCACCTCCCAGGTAAGTCCCTGTTTTTCCTTGTCTTTGGGTAGTTAGCTCTGGGGAGCTGACGGGGCTCCCCCCAGAAAACCAGTGTTGAATGTAATGAAACGCAATTTTCTGGGCGATTCCCAGAGGCTCCCCGGGATCCCTCCTACCCCCCCCCCAATCGGCGGTGTTTTCGCATTTTTGATATCCAGCCTAAGAACTGTAGGTTGGGTCGCCGGCATGAGGGTTCGGGGCTCCCCCCTTCCCTCTCCCCTCCTTCCTGTGGAGGGGGGTTACGGGTTGCGCAGACGGCGGCGCGGCAACATGACGACGACATGCTCGTTCACTAATTTTCATTTGGGAAGTTCTGTTCACTCGTTCGGTTTTCGGTAGCAATACTTTTACCAGAATAGGGGTTTATTTTGGGGCGTCTACCTTTCTGAGTGCCTGTCCCTGTCGATGGCAGACATAGAATGTTCCAAACCACAGAGGGGTTTCTATAGGACATTGCTCCTCGTGCCTCTCTTGAGGGGGTCAGGTTCTGGCTCGTGGTCCTCGGTAGGCAAGAACTCCATTCACTTGACTGATGCCAGAAAGATATACATATCCATTCAGCCTGGATAGCTCCAGGAAACCTCTGGGACTCGCGCAGAAAATGGCATTTCATTACATTCAACACTTTTTTTTTTCACAGTTCAACTGGTAAATGCTAAATATAATAACACAAAGGCTTTGCTATTAAACAATTGACTAATATGGACAATGACTTGTAGAACACAGAACACATGCTCAGCAATACCCACACTGTGATGGACGAAAACAAAACATTTAAAACAGCCAAACACAATAGGAACATGTACACTACTTAAATCTATCAATGTCTCCTACACCTAGTTAAAGGGAGCCGGTGGCTGAGCGGACGGACGCATGATCCTGTGTTCCCGGGTTTGATCCCGGGCGCCGGCGAGAAACAGTGGGCAGAGTTCCTTTCACCCTGATGCTCCTGTTACCTAGCAGTAAATAGGTACCTAGGAGTTAGTCACCTGTCACCGGCTGCTTCCTGGGGGGTGGAGGCCTAGTCGAGGACCATGCCGCGGGGACACTAAGCCCTGAAATCATCTCAAGACAACCTAACTAAATTTAGTGCGATGACACCTTCCTCCTCCCTCGCTCAATGTTTTCAGAGATGCCCCGGCTGTCAGTTTGGGCTTTGGGACCTTTGCTTCCCAGTCCGGCCAAGGTTCTTGACACCCGCACCTTCCTTGCGCCCTCAGCATAGTGAAGGGGTTTGTGGCTGTCTGGCAGGTACTGCGGAGAGCTTGGAGTCTTCAGGGCTTGGTGATCCCACTCCATTTCGATTGTTCCCCCCCCCCCCCATGGTTCATTCTCAACCTGTGGGGAGTCTCGGTCCGTGGCTATCAGTGCCAAACTACTAGGTGCCATCAGCCGCAGAGTTCTGTTTGCCTACCGGGGACCACGAGCCAGAGTCTGGCCCCCTCAGAGAGATACAGTGAGAAGTGGCCTATGAACACCTAACATTAAAGTTGATCATAAATGCCACCATCAGGGAAGGCACTCAGAAAGTTAGGTGAAACGAAATGGACTACTGCATGGTTAAAACGAGGGCGCTGCCTCAAAATTACCAAAAGAACTCTCCAAGAATTAAAATAAACCACCAAAATTTTGTGAAACTAGTGTGAGCTACTTTCACTCCACTCCCTTTGCCTGGGGGGGGGTGGTTGGAGAAAGGAGGCAGAGTCATTCAGTCCACACCACCCCTCAGTTTTATTTTAATGGTTCCTGGTTGCAATCTAATCACTCTGGCTCCAATTTCCCATTTTCCAAGTACCTTGTTATGTTTTTGCCTTTGAGGCTGCTGCTACATGCATTTGCATAGTGTGAGCCA